GTATTAAAGGAGCAATAAGTGACGATTCACAGAGCAGGGCTGGTGCTGATCCAGAGTCAGTTCTGGGCTGAATTCCTGCAAACAGGAAGCCGGTGAATCATAGATTTATGACGAATGACTCCATGAAACAACCGAAACCCGTAGCATTGATTGGACGCACCCTGAAGTTTTCCTGCTTTTAGCTGAGATCTGCACTCGAACCAAGCCGTCAGCTTCGGGGGCTGGTCCGGGAATCAACAGGGAAGTGTACCGTCAACGGGTTTAACCTTGTGATGAAAGTTGGTGGAGGATCATGGACCTACAGTTGCGCTTTCATTAGGCTAATTATCCAAAAATGAGCTAAAACATCTATTTATTGAATGCTTTCCTATTTTTGAGAACACAAGACAACAACACACTGATATTTATATTTATAGATTACAAATATAGGACCCAAAAACATCAATGCATGAAAAAAATGCATCCCTAGAAGCACAATTTCAATTCTATCCAGAAAAAAATTGGATATGCTGCATTTTAAATATAGCATAGCATTTTTTTCTTGTAAAATTTCTTTTAAACTTGGACATGTATTTTATTGCATGTTGCATTTCCCAGTAAATCTGCAGCTCTCCCTGCTTCTCTCTGTTCTCTGTTTAAAAAAGATTTATGCACCTCTTTACTAATATAATGATGCCAGAAACATCAGTTTAAGATCTGTAGAAGCTCTGCAGGCTGATTCTATCTGTTCAATAAGGAAACATGTTCATTTTAACCTGGAACTGGGAGTCATTGTCCGCTTAGAAGCCTAGATTTTTTTTTAACTAGTAAAGAATAACACACTATATTTTCTCAAACTTCTTTTGTTATAACTTGTATTAACCTACAATCTGTTTCCATTTTTAGCTGAAAAAGCTCCGTATGTTTAACGAAAAGATTTTTCGGTGTCATCTCTAATTATTTTAACCGATCCGTCTCCTAACTTTTACCTAAACATCGAAGTAGCTGCTGGTTAATATTCACCTAGTGCTGCTGTGTCTCTCCTCCAATCACGTAGCGACTCTCTAAGCAGTGGAATGCGACCGCCAATCAGGTGTCTCAAAGTGACAGATACGATGATGTAACACTGAGAGGCGGGACATGGGAGCAGTGGGAGAGAGGAAAAAAATAAAAAAACAAACACTGACTCAAAACGCTCTGAACACAGATAGCAGCACCCAACCTCTGTTACCACCGCTGGCTCCCTGCCCCCCTCCACCGGGGTTCCAGGGCCCGGAGCTGACGGCTCGGTTCCAGGCCCGGTGTGTTTCCAGTACTGCCATTTTTGTTTGTGTAATTCCCACCTTGAGAGCTGTAATATCGTGGACCACAGATTGTAGGCGAGGAACGTGCTAGCGTGACGTGTAAATGGTCGTAAGAACCGAGCTCGGCACGGTTAACTGATCCGAGCTCGGTCCAAACTCGGCACGGATCGGTTTCAGAGGACCGGTGTAAAGGGGTCAATAATGTTTCAGACAGAAACGACACCAAACTAATCGCGCTACTTTCTCTCATTGAGAGCGTCGTCCTGGTTGGTGAGTTGAGGATCAAGTCATAGCGCAGCTAGATTCAAGATGAGAAAAGACCCTTCAGAAACAGTAAGTAGATTTTCTAATCCTTCTGAAGGACGACGAGGCTTCTTAGTTTTTTTCCAGACTATTTCTGCTCTGCTTCTCTTTCTGGCTTCCTTGTTTTCTGGCTGCTGCTCCTTTTGCCCAAAAATAAACAAATTCTGCGCTCTGCTTTAGGAACTCTAATGTGATTGGCTCAGGAACCAGGAAGTAAACACAAGCCACACCCTCAATCAACTTAGTTCCACACTGCACCTCTAGGCTTGATTGTTTATAGGGGATATTATATCCACCCACAGCTGACATATTAGAATAATTTCGGTTAATTTTAAAGGAAATGTCTATAGATCAAACTAATAAATAATAAATATTTATCTAATTAATAACTTAACGGACCTTTGTTTTGAAAGGGTCAGATCCGTCACTGAATGAGTGACCCGCTATAGGTCTGGGTGTTAGCCCTGCAAACGCTAACTAAGCTAACTAAGCTAAAAGTCTTTGTTAGCTAACTAAACAGTTATGACCCTAACATGATCAGACATATTTAAGATTTTTTGGACATAGGATTTGATCTAGAAGGATGAATGTGGTTTTATCTTTACAAGGAACTTCATGACTTATACATCAGTTCGCTATGAGGTTCCAAAGCAGCGAGCGAGGCCGCTTCATTTCGCCACAGTGCAACGCAGTGCATGGTACCCTCAGTACCATGGAGTATTAGGGCCAGGCTAGAGATTAGTTTTTCTTCTATTTCGAGAATAAAGTCGCAATGTTACAAGAATAAATTCGTAAAATTACGTGAAACAAGTAGTTACGATACGGTGTCGCCTGTGTCCGACCTTTCAGACATTTCAACATCTTTTTCTGAATCCCACATTGTAGCATGGCATAGACAATTCACGTTAGCAGTTTGAAGAACACCTGCTTGCTTCTGATGATTTCCTTTAGCTAACCAATGAGTGTTTGCGTTCTGTGACTCATCCAATCACACTAGTTTTCACTAGATGTGGGTGGAGCCAATGATCTGCATTGGATGGAGCACATGACGGGAAATAAAGATTTAGAAACATTAAACCGAAGCCAAGAGTAACGAGTAACATTTGTTTTAAAAAATGTAAGGAATAGAAAGTACAGATACTGGTGTGAAAATGTAATGAGTAGAAGTCAGAAGTAGGAAGAAAAATAAGTAATACAGTAAAGTATAAATACCTAAAAAAAATTACTTAAATACAGTAATGAAGTATTTGTACTTTGTTACTTGACACCTTTGTCAGTTTGACTAATCAGGAAATCTTTTAGCAGCAGCATCAAGCTGGGCAGGATGTCAAAGTGGAATCTGGTTGCTGATTGGTGGAGCTGGTCGGCCGTCATCTGCTGGGCGGAGCTCCAAGCTTTCTTTCTGAAACCGGTTGATGTATGATGACATTATTCTCGTAATGTTACGACTTTATTCGCGTAATTTTACGACTTTATTCTCAAAATAAAAATAAGAATAAAAATCTCTAGCCTGGCCCTAATACTCCGTCGTACCCTCAGGGACCTGATCAGGACTTGTAACTGTCAGGTTTAGCACCCCCTAGTGGCTAGAGTTTGTACACACCTGCTTTGAATAAAAAACGTTTTCTCTAATTTCTGCAGTAAAATATAATATATTAGAATAATGCATTTATGGAGTTTATTAAGTTGTTTAACTTATTTTGATGTATTTAGAATCATTCTCAATGTCCAAACATATGTAAACACTTTTTTAACGGTATAATTCTTCTAAAGCGGAGCACTAATGAAAAAATCAGCTAAACAATCTTTAGGAAACTGATGACGTATTTTCTGTCCAGCATCTTTGCTCCAGTTCACCTTTCTTCATCTGATCCAGACATTTAGGGGATCCTGTTCTGGTCGCACTGCAGACTTGGATCTGTCATCGTGCCCCAGGGCAGCTTTGGCTCCAAATTAGCTCACCACCATCAGCGTGTGGATAAAACCAACCAGTTAATTACTGATAAAAAAAAATGCTCCTCTTCTTTAGACATAGCTCTCAGGTTTCTTTTGTACGAAATAATTTGCTGATGTTATTATCATTGGATTCTTTCTCTTTTATGGGTTTAAATTGCGGAAAAATCCAGAATAACTCAGTTTGAGGCAGAGAGCTTTCCTTTCTACCAGGAGGTGATTACCTCTACGGTACCAAGACCTTCCCAGGTTGTTCTTGTCCAGCAAACAGTCCTGATCTCTGTAGTTATGGTGGAAACTTTAAGAACCGGTGCAGGTTCTCTCCTGGAGATCTTCTCTTTCAGAGGCAAACTGTGAAGATGTTCTACATTGTGTTTTCTGAGCTCCAAATGTTCAACAGTTCAGGAGAAATTCTGGAATTGGTTTTGGTTCTGAAAAACGATTTAGGCTGAATATCCTCCAGGCTAAAACCCAGATGGTGAAGAATGTTCTGCTGCTGATCCACCGGTCAGCATCCTCCCAGGAGAACAAACCGGCGCTCTGTCAGATCAGCATACCCCGTCAGACCAGCATACCCATAGTCAATGTTTGCGTTTTTTTGCGTTTATCCCTTTGGTTTTTTACGGAAAATAGATTTTAAACTACCTCAAAGAGTGTGTATCCCTTTAGTCGTGAACAAAAAAAAAAATATTTAAGGTCAGATTGCCATACGCTTCAAAAAAACACCAATCAGTAACATGACTTAAGGGATACATGCCCACTGAGGTAGTTTAAAGTTTATTTATCGTACAAAACTAAAGGGTTAAACAAGTATTGACTATGGGTATGCTGGTCTGACGGGGTATGCTCATCTGACAGAACACCGACTGTTCTTCATCTGTCCCAGGAGTCTAGTTTGCATGAAACCAGTCCTGATTCGGACAGCTCATAATCTACCCAGCATGCTTTGCACTTTAGGCAAAGCTGCAGATCTTAAGCAGGACTGTATGGAACACCAGGTTGTAGTCTGATCCGGTTTCAAAGCTGGCTCAGGCCCAGCAACCTTTCTTATGCTGGTTGTTTAGAGTCCGAAAGTGAATGCCTGCAGCTGTTGACTTGTGACTGAAACTGGTTGGAATCTGAAAAAAATCTTAAAATATCTCGGAGTTTCTCTTACGTAATTTGCATGTTTTTTAAACAAAAAAACAGGCTTTGTTGGTCCACTCTATAAATCCTGGAACTCAACACTATTTCTGATATTTTGCATTGAAAAAGCTTCCTGGATGGGAAGAGAAACGTCTTCAAAGTCGGAAACAAAGTCCAGAAGACTGTTTTTTCAAATGTTTTTTAAATGTTTTTTAAATGACTATGACCTGGATGACTTCCTGTTTCAGGAAATGTTCTTTGTTCTCAGTTCAGACCTCGGAGAAACATTTGAAACTCTTTAAACCTCTGATCTTTCCTCCTCTATCCCTCCTGCAGGTGTTCAGGAAAAGAAAAAGGCTCCTGAGATGAAACCGAGATGCCAAACTGCTTCACTCCACGAGCAGCAGGACTGAAATCCGTCTGCTCTGTCCCAGAGGTAAAGACACCTGAAAACGGGCGGATCTCTCACACTCCAGCAGCTCTGAAATTACACTACTTTAGTTTTCTCCATTTGAACCCGGAAACAGTCCAGATCTTCTAGCAGAAGTTTGTTTTTTATAGTTTACATTTCCTAATGTTGCAATGATTAATATTTGAAAAGTTTGTTTTTAAATGAGACATTTTAGCTGAAAAGGAAAGAAACCCAATGAAGAGGGAGGGATTCTTTTTATTGACTTTCACAATAAAAGCAGAGCCAAACTGGATTTTCTTCACCAGAATCAACTTTCTGTCTGAATCTTCTCTAATTTTATTGTTTTAATAGTTTTCTTGGCTCAATCTGAGTGAAAGTTTCAATGAAAAACCATCTTTATTTTTATCTGAATCTCTGCAGCACATTTAAAGCTCCTCATTCAGCTCTTAGCTCAGACTAGCTGCCTCCTCCTGGAACCCTCTTTGCTGAACATCTCCAGTTCTATCAAACTATTGCAGGATTTTTCTCACATGTTCTGATGCCGACTGAAGCTTTTTTAAGAACTGTGATCATATATTTTAATAGCTCGATTTTATTTTGACTTATTAACATCATTTCAGCAGAAAATCGGCCAATTCAAAAGCCGATCTGTAAAATATCACATTTAACACTGACATTTTTAATGTAAATCTTTTATACTTATTTCTATTAGAAACAGAAATTATAATAGTAATGTCCTTAAAAAATATAAAGCAGCCTAAATAACATCATTGTCATTTTCTATTTTATTTCCATTTTATTTAAATTTAAAAAGTTCTCAATGTTGTGAAGTTATTCTTTTTTAAACACATAGTGTTTTTGTATTTTTTTTTTATGAACTTAAACCAGAACAAACACTCCTACACTGTGAAAATAAAATGTTTGTGTTATCAATAAATTAAATCTGGATTTATATTTTATTAATTTTTTCCATTCCACTGTTTTAGAAACAGCACCCCCTGCTGGTGGTGCCTAAGGACCAGTTTAACCATGTATACAAAAAAAACTCTGCTGTTTAATAAGGTAGAGGAAGAAGAAGTAATTGATTCTGTTTTGGGTATGTTTACTTTTTTTTTTTATTCATGAATAAATAATTTTTTATCTGCTGTCAGAGGCTCTGTGTGCAGTTTGTACAGTTCCCACTAGGGGGCGACAAATGCTTCACTGTTGTGCTGAGGATAATTTCAGAGAATATGGAGCGCAAACACACAGAAATTAATTTGAGGAAAATGCGTTTTGAGAAATGAAGGTCTGAAGGTTAAGAAAATAATTTATAATTTGCATTAAAAAAAAAAGTTTTACCCATATTTTCAGTTTGCTTTAGTTCAGATGATATAGATTATTTTTATTATTTATTTATTTTTTTTTACAAAAAGTGTTTGACTTTTTTTCTTGTTTTCCCAAGAAAGCTTTTTTTCAATTCTTAATTTTTTTAAATTATGTTGAGAGAGTAGCAGATTTTAAAATAATGCAATTAGGGAAAAAATGTGATATATTTTTACATTTTTGAAGAAAAAAAAAGTTTTTTGAAGAAATAGTAAACTGTGAAATGACTGGTTAAACCTTTGCCTAAAAAAATTAAAGTTGTTCATAAAAAATAACTTTCTCTTAAAAAGAAAAAAAAACAACTTTTTTTATTGAGAAGTTTTTCACATCTTCCTTTTGAAACATGTTTTTCTTTCTTTCAATAATACCAGAGAATCTTTCCCTGTGCAGGGCAGCAGTTAGCCAGATCCATTCAGCCAATAGCTGGGCAGAGCCAGAGATTAGACCGCCCCCTTTAACCACAGACAGTTTATTTGTACCCATCAGCTGTTCAGTCGAGTCCTCAGATCTGCTCGGCATGAGCTGAGACGGATCCATTGAGGCGGTCAGAACACGGCGTCCACAGCTGTCCTTGAGTTTGAGGACGTTCTCCTCCTGCTGCTTTGTTTCATCAGACAGACTGAGAGCAGCAGAATCATTATCAGCAGTTTTACACCAAACCTTTGGAGAACTCCCCCCTGCTCTGTGTTCTTTCATAGGCCAGTGATAATGGACCTGGATCCAGAATCATCTAATGGATCATTCGTAAAAAAACAATCCACTGGACTTTGTTTCCAAGTTTTAAGACGTTTCTCTTCCCATCCAGGAAGCTTTTTCCATTCAAAATGTCAGGAATAGCGTTGAGTTCCAGGTTTTATACAGTAGCGATGATCGCGGGAAGGAATCACCTCTAATGCTGCATTGTAGGTTTTTGAAAGCTGAAATCTGAGTCCACCCCCCCCCCCCCCCTTCTGTTTAAGGTTGTTTTTTTTTTTGTTAACATAGATGGCTTCCTTCACTCGCCTTTCAAACCACCTGCCTTCTTTGTCCAAAACGTGAACATTCATGTCCACTCTATAAAGCCTTGAATTGAAAAAGCTTCCTGGATGGGGAGAGAAACTTGGAAACAAAGTCCAGTGGATTGTTTTTTTTACTTTTTTTTTAAATGGCCGACCTGAATGAATGAGAATCTTCACCAGAACATCTGATGGATCAAAGATAAGATCTCTTTCTATCCAGAAGCAAGGAGTTAAGGATCATTTTCAGTCAGATGTATGATTCTCAGCACAGGGATCATGTTTCATCACGACCTGCATGTTGTCATAAAGAGAAAGGTCTTGTTGCCCAAACTGTCTCACTGATCACCTTCTGCGGTTCCTCCCGGTCTGGTCTAGAAACACTGATTTATTTTCCACAAACCAAACACTCATCTTTATTTTTCCTGTAAATAGAAAGTTTGACTCCGTGTTTTGGGAAAACAGTCTGTCTAGGGAAGAGGTAACGTTCATGTTTCATAAACTGTCATCATGGGTGCTAAACATCACGAGGGTTTATACATGAGAAGGATCTCAGAGCGACGGCCCACTGACAGGACGCATCTGTTGACCTGTATTTAACATGTAGTTTAACATGATGTACTTCTGTCTCCAACTTCCTGCTCTGTTTCCACGGTGACGGGGCCTCTGATGCGGTCGACCGTGGCAGCTGAAAGCGGCTACAGGTGGCGGCCTTGGTAGCTGATGGAGGGGGAACAGGGACGGTTCCAGAACTGCCCCCTGCGCTGCGGACCACTGACTGACATTGTTTGCTTCTGTGTTTCCTGACCTGAAAGCCCCCCTCTTCCCCTTCGGTCATTCCTTTGTATCAGAGTTAATTCAGAACATAATCGTCTTCATGGACCGCTCTGTCTCTGTGTGATGCAGCACTAGAGGTTCCCTCTGTTAAGATCAAATGACAGTCATGTAACAGGAGCGACTCCCCCCTGAAGTCACAACCTGTGATGGAGTTTATTTAAGGAAGTGGCTCCTATTCAACTTCCCGTTGCCGGTGGCAACGGCTAGACACACAGGTTCTAAGCTGAAAGCTGCGCTAAGTAGCGACCAAATCCTTCCGGAGAAGTCTTTGCTTGCTGGACCGAGTCAGACTGACTTTCCTACGATTCAGAAGGAGCTGATCGTACTAACGTAGTCTTTTTACTGTGATAAACACATGAATGCAGTTTTCTGTGAATCCACCTGTTGAAGCAGATGAGAGCTAATCCAGCTCTGGTCGCCCAGTTGCTGTTAGCTGAGGAGCCGTTAAGTGCTGGTTATCCTCCCGCAGAAGTCTGTTGCAGGTATGATGCTGATATTTTTTATTTATGCTCAATATTGAAGCGTGGTCTGCGCTATGTTATTCCAAGCCACAATGCCAGAGGGCCAATCAGGGACTAGCTGTGGGTCTAGAGACGGCCGAGGCGGAGAGGAAGTGGGGGCAAGTTTGTGCGACAACGGAGGGACATGAGGGGACAAAAAGAGCGGGGATCCTGGTGGAAAAAGGGTCCCAGCGTTCTCGCGCACCTCGCTCTGCTAGCGGGTCCAACTTCATGAGTCGCTTTTCACAATGGCGGTCAGACAAACAGAACAAGGGGGTAAGGAACCAAACAGGAAATACGCATAGAGTAGGGCGGATGTAGAATTGACCAATCAGAGGCCTCCTGTCTGCGGTCACCTACAATTTTGGAGAGGTGCAGCAGAGTGGCTGCGGAAGGGGCGTGGCGATATCTACGTTCACTGTGACTCACGCAGACGACCTGGTTTCTGAGTATAAATCAGCCTTAAGGAGACGCAGCCTGCTCATGCGCTCTTTATTAGAGAAGTAAGTATGTTCCTTCCTTCCTTCCGTCCTTCGGGTTTTAGAGCCCAGAAAATCGATTTTATTGTCTGACTTTCCTTGTTCCTAAAGAGAGAAAAAAACATGAGAGGTGGGTAGTAACTACTTACTGTCATGGTTTTGGTTCTGTTGTGCTTTACTTTGCTCCATGTTTCCTAGTTTTATTGGTTTAATTCCTATTTGTTGTAGTTTCTAGATTTAAGTTAGTTCTCAGGTTATTTTGTAGTTTTCCTCTGTTGCCCTCTTGTGTGTGTTCCTTTCCCCTTGGCTCCCTCGGTGTCTCCTCTCACACCTGCTCCTCATCAGCTCGTTAGCCCTCCCTTTGTCTCAGTCAGCTGTATTCTCTCCCTCTGCTGTCATTCCTCGTTGGTTCCTTGTCGTTGCTGTTCTTTGCTCACCTCGTCTCTCCCTGGCTCCTTGTGCGTGTTTTCCCCTGATGTCTCCATGTTTCTGGTCTGTGTTGCATTTTTAGTTGGATTTTTGGATTTGTTATTATTGTTTGCATTAAAACTACAAGAAATCACCTCAGCCTCTCTGCCTCTGCATTTGGGTCCTCTGAACCACAACCAAAACATGAAATTTATATTTATTCTGTAACATTTAGTAGGATCATATTTTTAAGAATAGTTCTCTTGTACTGTAGATCTTACTTTTCCTTAAAGGAATAGTACACCCAAAACATGATTAGCCTTCATTTTCTACTCACCCCCATGCTGAACAACACTCTGGAGTACTTTTTTGATATCTCAAATGCATCTGGAGATCTGGGAGGCTTCTTGCTGTCTGCTGACATTCAAATAATGGAGGTCTATGGCGCCCGAGGCAGAAAGGTCCATAAAAGTCCACAAAAAACGTGTCAATATTCCTCCATACTGCTCGTCCAATGTATTCCAAGTGTCCTGAGTGGGTAGCATCCAGAATTTACTCGAAACGAAGTCATTTAGAATGTTTTTAGAGCATAAACAGTAGTGTATAGGATTTCCTAAAAGCGCGTTCACGAGTCTACGGAACCAAACCAGATGAAAGTGCGCATTCAGCTCGGCAAAGAACTCATGCTCTTCCTCAACACTGAAGTCCTCAGACATTTTTCTTTCGTTGTTTCTTTCTTTGCACAGGTAAACAGCACATTTCTTCTTCTACGCTTGCATTATCGGCAGAGCAGACGCTGAATGCGCACTTTCATCTGGTTTGGTCTGCCGCGGTTTCCGTAGACTTGTGAACGCGCTGGCGCGCGCTTTCGGGAAATCCTATACACTACTGTTTATGCTCTAAAAACATTCTAAATGACTTCGTTTCGAGTAAATTCTGGACGCTACCCACTCAGGACACTTGGAATACATTGGACGAGCAGTATGGAGGAATATTGACACGTTTTTTGTGGACTTTTATGGACCTTTCTGTCTCGGGCGCCATAGACCTCCATTATTTGAATGTCAGCAGACAGCAAGAAGCCTCCCAGATCTCCAGATGCATTTGAGATATCAAAAAAGTACTCCAGAGTGTTGTTCAGCATGGGGGTGAGTAGAAAATGAAGGCTAATCGTGTTTTGGGTGTACTATTCCTTTAAGCAATATTAGAAGAAGCATCATTACTCCTACTTTAGTCAAATTTCCATCTACTGTCAGTAATTAACTTTTCGCTCAGGTGAAAATGCAATAAATAGTAGAGATTGTCTCTAGATGTTCAACACCCTGACTAACCTGTCTGTAAGGATTAGTTAGGCACCAGATCTAAAGCAGCTGCTCTTCTAGAGCTTCATCATTGAGGTTTTCCGAGGTTCCTGATCATCAAATAAATGTTAACATTTGACAAAGAACCAACAAAGTCTGCTTTTGTCTCTTCACCCCACAGGATATTTCTCCAGATCTCTTAAAGACCATTAAGATGTTTTCTGGTTGATGTGAGACGAACATTTGTGTTCTGTTGGGTCAGCAGAACTTCAGAAAAACTCATTAAAAAAAGGTTTTTAGAGTCATTTCAAATGTGCATGAAAAAGTTCAAAAAATATTTTTGACTTTGTTGTTTTTCTTCAGAAGAGGATTAGGGCCACTGGGGGAAAAAATGTAACTGATTTTAAAATTGTACTTCAGTATAATATGAGAAAAAAATTCAGAATTCTGACTGAATTTTGTCAGCTAACAAACGTTAGCATCAAGCCGTAGCCATGTCTGTTTTAGGGACTAGCTCTCTTGTTTTAATCACCTTCTGCTCTTCCATTAATGAAACAGCATCACCAGGGACGCTTTAGGGACGGAAAAGTCACCTAATTGCGTCATTTTCCAACAATGTGTTACTGTTCCTCCCAAATAACTCACATCTTTGTCAGTAAAGCTCAGCACTCCCACATCTCTCAGAATTCTGAGAAAAAAATAAAATCAGAATTCTGAAATGAAAGTAGAAAATTCTGAGAAAAAAATCAGAATTCTGAGATTAAAGTAAGAATTTGGAAAAAAAAAAAAAAACCCGCCAGAATTCTGACTTTTTTCTCATATTAAACTGAAATAATATTTAAAAATCAGTTAACTTTTTTATTTTTTTCTGTGGCCCTAATCCTCTTTCGTATTTTTCTGATGTTTTTTTGTAAAATTTGATTTAAAAAAAAATTGATTATTTATTTTAGTATTTTTATCTTGTTTGAAAATGTTAATCCCCTACACACACAAATAAAAATAAATAATGTACTTTGTAAAACAAAAGCTGAAGTTGAAAAAATATTTCTATTTTAGGTGTAAACTGAAAAAAAGAGAAAATCTAGGAAAGAAAATAGGAGGAAAAAAATCAATAATATCTAAAATCTATATTTGCTTTTTTATATATGGAAAATTTAATATGAACAAACTGTAAAAAATATTGTTTGACTTTTGCATAAACATTAAATTCCATTTTTAGATTTTTCTTCAAATATTCTTTTCCTTTTTAGCTTTCAAATCTATTCAATGTCTCCACATTTATTTAATAATCTACTCCAAAAAATTAAATCAGTCAAATAAACCATAAAATGTGAGCTTCTCATCACTCAGCTGGACTTTCTAGTATTTAAAATGTAAAGTTTATAGGAAGGAAAATTGTATCCTAATTTTATCACATCAAACAGAAATGAATTTAATCAAAATAAAAAAGATTCAGATCCAAACTGGGTTTTTAGTTCTGATCCAGTCACATAAAGCGGATCTGCATGCAGGGATCCCAGTGACGTCAGAAGTATTAGTGACGGGGAAGGGGTGTGATTGTTATAGTGACGTCACGGTGAGCGCCTCCTCTGATTTAAAGCCGCCGCTGCCGCACGGACGGACCCACAGACCGGCCGAACCTCCGAACCTTGGATCGGTCTCTGCCTGCGGGACCTCTGCCGCTCAGTGACCGCCTCAGTGACGCCGCCGCCCCGCATGGAGCCGCGGGGATTCCTCCACAGCCTGCAGCGCTCCGGAGCCGCTTTGGTTTGATTCTAACGGAACTATAAGTTCGGTTCGGCCGCCCGCTCCGCCCGCTCCGTCTCCCAGCAGGCCTCCGTCTCCTCCGTGACTCCAGTTCCCATGCGATTCTTCAGACTCACATTCAAGTGCTTCGTGGATTGTTTCTGAAGGTCGCGACCCAAAGTCGGCTCCCATTTTTCCTTTTGATTTCAGTTTGACAGAAAAAAAAAAATTATTTTAAGAATATTTCTCAGTTTCTGTTTTTGGTCTATTTTTAACCAATTGTTTAAAAATAAACTGAACACATCTATAAAAAATAAAAAATAAAGTGTTTCCCAGAGAGGAGAGGGTCCACAGGGGACTGAACTGGACCTGCTGGGTCTGACTGGTTCTACCTGGAGGTGGACTGGGATTACTGGAAGGTTACTGGTTCTGAACTGGTGTGAGAGGAGAAGCAGACAGAGACTGACTGGGAGAGACTTGGAGCAGCTGTGGAAAGTTAGAAAGCTGCAAAGTTTGATCAAAGGGAATATTTAAACTGACTGGTTCTGAAATGTTCTGACTGGTTCTAACTTGATTCTTACTGGTTCTAGAAATAGTTTAGATTGAAAGGGAAAGGGGATCAAATCTGAGGTAACAAGGGAAACCCATAAAACCAGTATAGTGTTTCTTACTGGTATCTCTGACTGGTTCTGATTGGTTACTGGTGTCTGACTGGTAACCTTAGTTTGGGAAAGAATCTGAAATCTGAGAAGAAGAAAACAGCCGTTTAGGGGTGACTGAGACTGGACAGTAGAACTTTTACTGGTTCTGGACTGACGCCTGATTCCTGACTGGGTCTGTACTGGTTCCAGTCCTGCCAGCGATGGAGAAACAGGCTCTGCCCGCCTCCCCCTGCTCAGTGGTTCATCTGGAGGACACCAAGAAGAACTCGCTCCTCCTGTCCAACGGCAGTGGCTACCCTCCTGCAGCTGCTAATGGCAGCCTGGTCCCGGCGGCTGGTCCAGGTGCAGCAGGCGGTCCTGCACCGGATAAGAGAGGGGGCCCCGTCAGCGGGGTGGGCCCCGGGTACCAGGAGCGTGAGACGTGGACCCGGCAGATGGACTTCATCATGTCCTGTGTGGGCTTCGCTGTTGGACTCGGAAACGTGTGGAGATTCCCCTACTTGTGCTACAAGAACGGAGGAGGTGAGCTTCACACACACACACACACACACACACACTGGGCGGGGCTACATGAACAGGCCCCGCCCCCTTCAGTAATTCACACTTATAAACATGGTTGCAGCAGGCTGTTAAAGCCTCAGATGTTCCAAAGCATGGAGGATGCAGCCGGACGGGATCAGCTCAGATATTCAGACTGTTTCTAAAAATGTTCAGGCGTAAAGCCCAGAGGAAGTGGCCTTACTGTGGGGCGTGGCTAAAATAATGGGCGTGGGTACAGATTGTGATCCTGTTAGGAAGCGATGGTTGTCACTGACCTGAGTGGCAGCAGCAGGTTTATCTGATCACCTGCTGCAGAGGAAGCCGAGCCCAACGTGCTCAGAGTGGCGCCTCAAGTGTTTCACTATAATTACTCACAAGCAGGACGGCGGTGGGTGGGTGTGTGAGCATGATCAGTGGCGGTTCTAGACCAAATGTACCAGGGGACGAGAAGGGGGCCAGCGTGTTTTCATGGGGGCCCAGAAAAGCATGAAATAAAAACCAGTTCAAGGTATTCAAATATATTAAGAGAGCTGCATGAAGGGAAATTTCTATTCAATTAGGTTTAATTAAAATTCTGTCTTATTGGGTCAATATACATTCAGGATTTACAAATTTTACATATGTGACTTAATTTAAGTAAAATTGCGTTTTTATATAAAACCAGAATTAGAAATAAAAAACTGATAAATTCAGCTGTAAATATTTGAGCAATTGTTTTTATTTGTTTAAAAAAAAAGCATTGAGCGGATGAAAAACCTGGATCCTATCGCAATCCCACCGAATCTATCATCTTATTTTTTTAAAAATAATTAGTAAAACAGAATTTTTAAAGAAAAAAAAATGAAATAGATCTGAAGGACCTATCAGTAACCACGTCTGTTCATCATTGAGTTCATCTTTGAGTATTATGTCTTCAGTACAGGGGCCATAACAGGGGCACTGGCCCCCATTGGCCCCTGTCTAGAATTCAATTCAATTCTATTCAGTTTATTTCTATAGCTCCAATTCACATCATGTCATCTCAGGTCACTTTCCAGTTCAACCAGATCATCCAGTCAGATTGATTCAAAGTTTTCTATCTAAGGAAAATCAGCTGATTGCATCGACTCATTGACTCTTCAGCAATCCCTCACACTAAGCATGCTTGTAGCGACAGTGGAGAGGAAAAACTCCCTTTGAACAGGAAGAAACCTCCAGCAGAACCAGGCTCAGTGTGAGCGGCCATCTGCTGAGGCCCACTGGGGTTCAAGGAGACAGAAGCAGACATAGAAAAAGAAGCATAGATACAAAAGGCAACTGTCAACCAGCTCCACAGGCGGCCCCGTCCAGGAAACACACAGCCAGGCAGACGAGCTCCGAGCCAGCTCCCATGTCAGAGGATGAAGAGAGCACATCCAGTTAGTCACAGTCAGAGAAACAGGACTACACTGGAAAACAGGCCAAGCTCCAACATCTAGAAACAAAGGTTTTTAGAACCGCCCATGATCATGATACAGATCTTAAAAATGATTGATTCCTTTTAACTTTTCTTCAATGGGAACCACTAGACACATCTGCAATCAACAACAATTATTGAAGATTTCCAGAGGACTTCACCATTGAAATTCACCAGAGCTATAGTGAAACTGACAATGCCCACGTGCATGGCAGCTGGATGCTGGAATACATCGGGGAAAAGTGAAAAAAAAGAGTTATTCCACCTTTCTGATTCCTGATCCTACCTGGACGGGTTGGTCGTTGGATCGCCAACTTGAAGAGGGAGGATTTGCCATCGAACTTCTGGCCAGAGAAAAAACCCGTAATATGTAGCCAACATTTGGAAGAAGAATGTTTTCAAGATGACTTGGATAATAGCGCGTTGTGACAAACACCAGATACAGCACTGGGACTTGATCAACAGCCGATACCGCACCGTGACGTCACAAACCAGTAGGTGGCAGTAGTGTTCTTTGACAAACATGGATGCCTCCAGTAAAGCACATTCACATGGAAAATTACTCTGAATTAAAAACACTGATCATTTATTGAACATGATGGATTCATTTCAGATTTAATATTTGAATTCTGAATAGAACTGCTGACTTTTCCTTTAATACAGCAGTTATAACAGATGTTGAGCTTCAAACTATTTTTGACTTTGATAAATGGACACTTTGTCTGTTTAGATCTGAGCTGTTTTAATTGCTCTCACTGACTCCCAGCAGAGATGTAATCTGATCTGATCCTAGATGAAGATGAACATGAGACGGGTTGTGAGGAGCTGCCATGTCTGCAGCGGTCACTGGGGGCGGGGGGGTCAGCAGAGCCATGGTTAGGGTCATACTGTCAGGAGTATGGAGTGTAATGGGTTTGGGCTGCACTGTAGGTCGGTTACTAAACAATTTTCATTCATAAGAGACGAAACCAGCTAATAATAACAATAAGCTTAATCAGACAGGTCATGCTATTCAGTTTATTTCTATAGCTCTAAGTCACAACACCTCGTCTTGGGTTACTTTACAGATCTAGTTCACTCAGATATTCCAGTCAGATTAGAGGCTGAAAGTTTTCTAAATGAGGAAAACCAGCTGATTGCATCTAGTCACTGGCTCCTCCTGAATGAGCATTTTTACCTCGTACATATTCTTCTTGTAGCAATCCCTCCCAGCAAGTATGCAGCAACAGTGGGGAGGAAAAGCTCCCTTTTAGCTGGAAGAAACCTCCAGTAGGACCAGGCTCAGTGTGAGCGGCCATCTGCTGAGGCCGACTGGGGTTCAAGGAGACAGAAGCAGACGTTCTGTCTTTTTCATTCTTAGCAATGGTGAAGAGGGAGTTTTTAAATGTCATATTTGTCATATGAAGTGAGTCTTCTTTTGGGTAATTTCAATACACTTTGACAGAAAAAGGCCAAATTGGTTTAAAGAATGCGTCAAACGCTCCAATAAAAAAAGCTTAAACAAAAGAATCGGATTCGAAATAAACCCCCTTGGTGTCTGTCGAAGTTTTTTTAAATGGCTTTTCGGTGTTTAAAAGTGATCAGTTCGTTCAATTAAAGCACAGTTTCACACTAAGGGTTTCTTCCTGTTAAAAGGGAGTTTTTCCTCTCCACTGTCGCTACAAGCATGATTAGTGTGAGGGATTGTATTTGAGTCAATGAGTCGATGCAATCAACTGGTTTTCCTTAGATAGAAAACTTTGTATCAATTTGACTGGATGATCTGGTTGAACTGGAAAGTGACCTGAGATGACATGATGTGAATTGGAGCTATAGAAATAAACTGAATTGAATTGAATTAAAGATGTGACCCTAGCTGACCCAAAAATATATTTCTGCATAAAATGCTGCCTAAGCTGTGATTATATGAAAGCAGCGGACAAAGCTTCAGAAAGCCAGGAGAACTGGTGAAGAACTGAACCAATAAATGAGTCATTTCTCCCAGAGCAGAAAGCCACAGCGCCTCCTGCTGCTCGGACAGAGTGCTGCAGCGTAGACCCCATTCTTCATCATCCATCTTTTTACTGAATCCGGCCAGAACCGGATCATCTCAGCACCGTGCTCCAGTCTGCCAGTAGCTTCTGGCCTCCTGCTGGGTCGCTCTTCTCAGAATCATTCCTGAACTGGTTGATGGAGAACGATGGAGGCGACGCCAGCAGGAGGTCTCATCACGTCTCTGTGAATCAAACCGCCTGCTCCTCTGGAAAGGTCTGGTTCTCACCGGCGGCGCCCTGAGCTGCCAAAGGAAAGGTCTGAGAAAGGGGCGGGGGGGGGGTCCAGTGAAAAGGTCCAGTTCTCACATTACTGTCAGACTTCCTGTAAAGGTCACCCTTCTCTTGACTGATTGGTTAAACCTGAAGAAACTTTCTGGTGTCATTTTGCCGCATTGTCCCGCTCCCGTCTCTGGTCCAAACCTCTGAACCTTTGCTTTCCTTCTCCTTTATCCCTGCAGCGCTTCTCTTTGCTTAGTTCTGTCCCAGCCTCATTCATTTGTTTTGTCCTTTTTTCTCCGTGTCCTCTAATAAATCGGAGCGACTTTGATTTATTATCCTGCAGAGTGTGTCGGCGCTGCAGTAAGTCTGTGAAGGACACCGGCGTCTGTGTGAGGCAGGGAGCTGGTATCTTTGTGAGGACCGGCACCGGTGATTTTCCTGCATCATCTGCATGATGATCGGAGACGTTCACCTCTCAGGAGAACCCCTCATTGATTCTGAGCTTAGATTCAGTTATTTTAATGATAAATAGATGCTTATGGCAGAGGTGGGTGGGAACCAGTTACACCTACTAGAGAAACTTTGAAAGAAAACAAACTTCAGGAGAAGTTGCATTCTAGAGTACTCTTTCATTACTTTAATCAGGGGTCTTCAACATTTTCCAGGCCAAGGACCCTCAAACTGATGGCGAGATGGAGCGGGGACCCCCGTATTATATATATTGTTCCTATAGTCACTCTATTACAGATGGAGTAATGTAACTAAAGTAATCCCTCCATGCGATTATTAAAGTATTTCTGATTCCTGGTTGATGGGACAGGTGTTGTGAATGAAACGGTGCCCAGCTTGAAAGAGCTCCTGTGTGTCGCTTAATGTGTGCATTGATGACTGAAAGACTAGCCTCGTGAGACCATCCTGATCTCGCGAGCTTTCAAGGTTTCACTCGCAGATCAGTCTGGAGACTCTCCGTTAAAGAAAACTTGGAGCCGTTCACCAAACGAACGTCCAATCAGCGTTGGCTTTGAGGCGGGTTGAGGTGTGACGCAACGAGAAGCGCCACAGTTCAGTCTAAAGAACATGGCGGCTTCAGCCGATGAAACTAGCATTAGCGTGGCTATCGAGCAAGTTTTATCGGAATTACAGAGTATTTCTTCACTGAAAGAAGAGCAAAACACTGCTCTGGAGGCTTTTCTCAGAGGAAAAGATGTTTTTGCTCTTCTCCCGACTGGTTTCAGCAAGAGTTTGATCTATCAATTGGCTCCTCTTCGTCGTCGCTCTGTTAGTACGGCATATGT